GAGAAACATGATGCAGGCTGCCATATGCAAATAAGTTGTTTATGCAGTTTTGGGCTGAATGCGCTCAGGAGAAGCTGCAGGGAAAATTCACGTGACAAGTAGCCTCATCAGGTAGTCTAAAAGACTAAAGGCTAACTAAGAACTTTAGCTTTCTTGCCCTAATAAATGCTATTTGTAATCGATGAAAAACATCTCATTTTTCTGTGGAAAATGAGGGGAGCTCTTTTGTTCATTAGAGAGATTTCTATCAATTTTAACTCTCATCGCATTTTTAACCCACCCACCAAGGGTACTAATAGTCTCTACAAAAATTACTTCAGTCTTTCCTTTATCTCTATGAACGAGAGACTCCCACTTCTACATGGGAAACCTGGGCACACAGAGGTTTACTGACTGGAAGACACACTTCCTTCTTGACAATAAACACTGGCTCCATGGATCAGCTTGTTACGCAACATGTATTACTGTTGGTCTTGCGAAAAGCTCGGAATGGGTAAGCACAGGCAAGATGAGGAATCTGAACTTATTTGAACTCCAGGTAAATCTAGTGTTTTTACCACACTGCCCTGTGAATCAGTAATTTTGAAGGTCCTGTCTCATTTTGACCACTAATGTTCTCCAACTCTCCATATTTGCCAGACGCTTTTCCATGTCTCAGAACATTTAAATTGAGAGAGTTCTAATGTGTTATGATTGACTATTTCACACTGCTTTTTCCACTATTCATTGGAAGTTTGAAGGAAGTTATTTTTTATGTCCTTTGAAGCTGTTATTTTAAGCCAAGTTGACAGTGTTCATAATATTTCAAACAAGCTGACAGATCGTTCTGCTAATGTGCACTGTAAATGCACATGTATGCGAACCTTAAAGAAAAACCGTGCACTGACAAAACAACGTACGTGAGAAAATAACACAGATTTATGACAAAACGAAAAAATCCTCTGAGGCAGCTGATTATAATGGATCATGACCATGTTGAGGAAGTCTGGAGAAAGGCACGGCAGAGTCGGAATGCATTTGGATAACTTCAGCATTAGGAAGTTACCAATGTCAGTGTCATGAAGACAAAAAAGTCTTCTTCCAAAAGTTCCAAAAGTGTTTTTACTCTCCCTTCATACAGCTGGGAGATTTGGAATTGCACCAAAAAAAGAGTGGAAACAGAAAGCTGAATGAAACACTCATGGTGTGCATTACTAGTCAGAACTAAAGAAGGGAGGTGATCACATACCAAAATCACATACTGAGGTGGCTCTAAGCGGCTTGGAAAAAACAACTAACTCATGACCTTAACTTCCAACAAACAGCTAGTTTGACTTCAGCAGTGATGATAAAACACGGGATAGAAAATATCTTGTTTCTTTCTAAGTAAAAAAAAATATTCAAAGAATTATTTAATCACACCATTGGAGCAGAGGATAACAAGCCTATAACCCGCAGTCAGAAACTATGGCTACTGTGGCAAGGAATATTTCTGGGAGCTTCATCAGGGAGCTTCTGCCACCTTGTAAAGCATCTTTGGGAATCTCTAGAGGAAGAGTGGCTTCCTACCAGCACTGCAGCAGTGTGTCTGCCTCTGATGAGTGCCCCTTTTGCCCTAAAGAAGGGCATTATTAGACTCTTCTTCCTATCAGGGTATCCACTTCTGCCCTTGGTACTGCTGTTTTCATGACCCTTCTCCTGTGGGAAAGCAGTGGCTCTATGTTTTCACTGAAGCAAAGAGAAACTTGCGTCCCTCTGAAGCAGGCTGTGTGTTTGAGGAGTTTTCACTCCTGTCAAAAATAAACCTAAAATCCTTCACAGACACCAGGATAACAGGCACTATGGATAGTGTGAGTCATAATACCTGGTAGGAACGCTTTCCTGGATTTAGTTTGTGCTGTTAACTGTCATATGCGGGAACAGTGGTATGGGCATTCAACAGCAGGGCGGAAATGTCATTTATATTTTTGCTTAAATACAAAAATGAATTCAGACTGTCAAAATAGGTCTTTTGCATGACGGTATGGTCAACTAAGTTACCTGTAACTTTAAACACCTTCCTGAATCTGTTTTTCCTGCTGCACATGTGCCAAATCCATCATTTAAAATAACAATGCCAAAATCATTCCTAATCAAGTTTAAGAAATTGAAGCAACTATTTTCTGCTTTCAAGCACTAGTGAGTTTTGTTACAGATAAAACAGAGCTTTCTCAACAGTTAAACAGAAATGCTGTCTTAGTTTTGACTTGAAACACAGTTGTACTGTAGTACAGTAAAATCTGTGTATACAGCTCTACACTTTTTTCAACAAAGTCAAATAATATTTGCTGGATGGGAATTTAAAAATTCCTTCTTCAAAAATCAGAAGTTAATATTTCTACTACGTATTTCTTCAAGCAGCTTAACCCTCACATCTTGACTCTCTATAGCTTTACCTATTTTCCTCTGTCACCTACAGTTCATATCCCCAAAACTGCACCACTTTGTCATGATTTAACATTTTCTTGTTTGCCTTTGCAAGCATCTCTGCATCCTGTCAGGCGAGCAAGTGCTTTCATCATTGAAGTGCAGGAGTCAATCCCATCCTCCTCTTTCTAAACTATACTTTGAACGCAAGTTCCTTTCTAGTTTGTTTTTTTTTTTTCTTATCCCTCTCGCATCCCTCAAATGTAAGATGAAGGCTTTTTTAAAATTTTTCATCAAGATGCCTTTTGAAACACCTGCTTTTAACCATACGAGTTAAAACGAGTCCAGAGGAGGTCCACGAAGATGATCAGAGGGCTGAAGCACCTCTGCTATGAAGACAGGCTGAGAGAGTTGGGGCTGTTCAGCCTGGAGAAGAGAAGGCTCTGGAGTGATCTTATTGCAGCCTTCCAGTACCTAAAGGGAGCCTACAGGAAAGCGGGAGAGGGACATTTTACAAGGGCGTGTAGTGATAGGACAAGGGGCAATGGCTTTAAACTGAAAGAGGGGAGATTTAGATTAGATGTAAGGAAGAAATTCTTTACATTGAGGGTGGTGAGGCACTGGAACAGGTTGCCCAGAGAAGTTGTGGATGCCCCATCGCTGGAAGTGTTCAAGGCCAGGTTGGATGAGGCTTTGGGCAATCTGGTGTAGTGGAGGATTTCTCTGTCCATGGCAGGGGGGTTGGAACTAGATGATCTTTAAGGTCCCTTCCAACCCTAACCATTCTATGATTCTATACAAAGAGATTTCCAGAGGGTACCAGCAGTTTTCGATAAGAATGTCCCTAAAAAAACAATTTTCACAAAAATCTTGCACAAGAAAAAAATTCTTCAGGCTTTAAAAACACAAATCCAAGGACACTACTGACTTCATTTCCACTAGGAAATCACTTTAGTCTTGCATTGTTATACAGGGGTCACCAGTTGGAAATTGCACAAGATGCACAGGATATATCTTTAAATTATTCATAATCACCTTAAACTGCACTCAATCAGCATTGCAATATGTCATCTTATAGACACAGAAAAGTTCAAAAGGAAAAGCGCATGAAAAAGCAGACTACCAAGAGCACTATTGCTAAAACTACACCAGAAAGCTTAATATTTCAATACTGTATATATTAAAATAAACAACATACATAGGTGATGAAAGCCAGCCTCTGAAAAATTTATTATTCTGTTAGAACAAGTTTACACTTAGGATGAATTCTCAAGCTTCATGCCATTAGGAAGTTTTACTGGGTTTATAGTGGAAATAAAAACAGAAATAAAAATAGATGACAGTCCCAAAATACAGGCTGTACTTTGAATATCATCAACGGGCTTTCTTTTTCTTTTACTTCTATACATTGCCTCTTACCTCCAGCAATAAATTTTATTCAATCTTCATGAACACTTCACTAAATTGCCTGTTTTCCTTTTTAAAATCAAACGTTGTGAAAGATGAATTTGAACAGATTAATGTAACTTGTATTAGTTCAGTATTATTTCCCCAAGACTTATGATGTTACTTTCATTCAAAGGATCCTGACATTCCCGCCTCATTTCCTCTGTAATCTTACTTTGGCTTTCAAAAAAAAAATGATCCTAATCCTATTTTCTCCTCCTATGCATGCCATAAGTACTTATCCCATTCAAGTGAAAGGGACTGGGCATTAATTCTTCGTGTATGATGGCATAAAGGCAGCATGGATTATTATTAGGATGATTAATTTTAAAAGCAGTAAAGCTTTGCCTGGTGAATTTGCGCTCAACACTGCAAAATTAAACTCCTGAAACTGGACTGGTTTGTAAATGATACTACACACGGAGCACCAACTGCTCTAAGCTTCGAACTACAGAGTAGTAGTAAGAATTGTATGTATTCTTTGTCAGTTAAGACTCATTACTACTGGAAGTTAAGTTCAATATGAACAGAAGAAATTACAGAGTGTATTTCATAATTTTAAAGAATTTGAAATAGTTCCCATCATGACTCCTTCTGACCATATTGCATTTACATAAATTGTTCACATTTGCCTCGTGTTAATTTTGAAACGTTGGACACTGTAACAACATTTGGCATTTAATTAACTGCAGCACTACCCTTACTCTCACCCACTTGGATGCTATTCTCCTCTGCCTATTATCTGAATGAATAACTGATTTCACTATAAAGTTTTATGAATTACTGCTTAAAGTATTGATTATCTCAGATAAAATATGGAAGAATAGATTTTTCCTTACCTAAGAACCAACAACAAATTACAGATTTTTCCACAAGCATCGTATCTTAAATGAATAATATTCTAAAATACACATACATGTCCAACTTTTTGTTTTTAAAAAAAAAGACTGCCAAGAGTTTCCTCAGTGTTTTGAACTGAACAGCAGCGCATGGAATGATCAGTTGTAAAGAAGCAGAAGAAATATTAAATTTTTCCTATGAGTTATGCAGTTTTCAGGGGGAGAAGAAATAAAATATAAGTATAAAATTACCAAAATTTATTTTATCAGCTTCAATATTCAGCATTTGATACATCTGAATCATATACTGTTATCAAATATTTGACTTACACTCATATTCCTGTCCCAGATCTGGATGGAGCCATCTTGACAGCCGGCTGCAATAAGTTTACCATCTCTGCTGTATGTGCAAGTTGTAGGAATCACTCGTTTACCTTGAACTGATCGTGGTTTAAATACGCTTTTGTGCTTTTTTTCATTGTTAACATCCCATGTCCTCACAGTTCTGGAAAAAGGTTTAAATAAAGAGTTGTTTCAGATAAAGTTATAATAGATGAAATATTTTTTTAATTATATAATCAAACACCTTTTCAGCATAAATGGCATATAATACTGTTCAAATAACTTTGTAATGGCAAAACAGCATTTAATATACAGTATGTCATGCATGAAACTAATGCAACAGCTTTCCAAGAAAGAAACATCATATTCATTAAGATATATATGAAGGTTAAAAATAAATACAAAAAAAATCAGTTATTCCCAAACTCTCATGTAAATACATAAAATTATTTACAACTGGACAAATGACCAAATGTTAATATGCAGGTACTACACAGTTTCCACTGTCACTGGAAACCAGGAAGATGAAAGTATTGGTCCTTTACAAGAATGAAGAATTCAAATTCCTTAACTAAACAGATTGCCTTTATTATTCTGACATGACAATAACCGACAAACCTGCTTTTAACTGGAAGTATTGCAGAATGGCTGGTTATTCTTCAGACTTTTCTTTATTTTAAAAGGCATTTTGAACAATTAATTGCAATGTTATCATAGTTCTCTTCCACTACCTGAAGGTCTTCTGAATTCTGTGTAAAAGTGCCCCTCAAATACTTTAGTAGGACTCATTTATGTAATGTTGTTTTTTCAAGTTGAGTTTTTCTCACATTATTAGCAAAACAAATACATCCTTTTTCTTTTTGATGGAAAAAGATTATCTGCCTGGATCTTTAATGTTACTTAGATACACAAAAACATCCAAATGAGAGAGAACTAAAACACTGAGATACAGGTGGACTCTTTAAACTGTCGTAGACACAAATGTTTTCTGTCTATTTAACATGTTGAGTTCTTTCCAGATAAAAATTCAAAACTCTTCCGGCATTTAATGTGGAGAAGAGTTTTAGGATTTGGCAAAGGAAGGAAGATCATTAATTTAGAAAGAAAAAAATCACCAAGTTCTCAAGACAACCTCATTTGTTTAGACTATACAAACATTGCCTATGATCCAACAGCACGTAATTCATTGGTCTCTAGCAAAGCAAACACCGCTTTAGCTGCCATTTCTCTAGAACAGGAAAAGACACTGCAGTATAACATTAAGAACTTCCATCACAACTACAAGGCTAGATAGACTACATGCATGTAATTCTAAAATAAAACAGATAAAAAAATGAGTTGGATATAGCTCATAGAAGTTATATTTAATAGCACACTTAATGACAGCAATGAGAAATCAGTAACAGGAGTATAATTAATCTCCAGTTGTCCATAATAAAGTCAAGATTAGTCTCATTTTCAAAAGTCTTCAAATCTCATATCTCTAAGGCATCACTTCATTGCTCTATTTGGAACTCTAGCATAAGACATTAAAGTGTTCTCATGGTTGGTTTGGTGTTTTTTTTGTTGTTTTTTGTTGTTGTTGTTGTTATTGTTTGTTTGAGTTTTGTGGGTTTGTTTGTTTATTTTTTCTAATTTCAAATGAAACACTAGATTACGGTGCATTTTCTAAGGTCACATAAATAAATCCATGCTGCTATATAGAACAGGTTGCCCAGCAAGGTTATGGAGTTGCCTTTCTTGGAGTTATTAAAAACCTTTCTGGACATTGCCATATGCTAGGTGTTTAGATGATCCTTCTTGGAACAGGACAGTTGGATTAGAGGATCTTCAGAGGTCACTTCCATCCTCAATCATTATGTGATTCTGAGATTTCCCTTCTCATCTCTGTGTGTTGTCAAATAGCCATCTCAGTCTCCTATCTTTCAACAGGCACTTTATCTCATTCTGATACTTACTCAGGACTGGAGTCTTTTTTCAGTCCCTTTCTCTCATAACAGTTAATCTTTCCAGAATCTCATCTGAATATCCTGTACCCTCCAGCTTCTCTTCCTCCTCTTGTGATGACCGTCTTCTCTTCCTATCACTACGTCCTCTCTTATAGTGCAAGTTTTCCAGGACTGCCTTGGCCTACCCACTTCTCCGACGGTGTAATCAGAAACATGGTTATGTTCAGAGAAGATCAATGCCTCCCTACCTCTATTTGCCTTTTATCTAAGATGCCTCACAAGCACCTCAGCTGCAATGCCAAAAACAATCTCTGAGAATCCTTCACCATTCGAATTCTTCATTTCTGCTGGCACAGACAGACTTTTTTAAAGTCTTCAATCTCCTCTTTTAGGGCTCAATGTCCTGTCAAAACCTCTATCACTTCACAACACTATAGAGCGTATTCAAACCTTCTTACTCATTTTACCTTTCAACTGTAAAGAAAGAAGTAACACTTGTATAGTTCTATCTCTTATAACACAAATGAAAAAAAATGTGAGCCCTAAATCAACTGTAATATCAGCAGGTCAGATGAAAAGTCCAAGTTCTCTGAGCTGCTGCTTCTGCTGCAGACAGTTGGCCACACTCCCTCACATATGAGTTACATGCTCTGTTAAAAATGCCCACACAGTCGACAGTACCTGTTTCACATCCCCTCATTGCTTTCTTAATGTTCCCACACCAAATGTGTGTTTACTATTGCCTTGCTGCTATTGGATCTACCTATAAAACTTTTCTACAAAAATAAATAAGTATTTTATAAAATATGATCTATATATTGCCTACAAACTGATCAATCATTCCCAGAGAGCCCTTAACTCTTGAGCTAAGACTGAGCTCTTTAATCTCTTCTTTCATGTCACATCTTTTAAGTACTTTTATTCTTTATGGAAACATTTCTAATTTTTATTAAAAACTGGACATCATATTTCAAACACATCTCATAACACCATGGACAAAATTTCAATTTACCACACAACTCAACTGGCCCACAGTTTCTGACTGAATCACCATCAAACAAAACATTAGGAGTTATTTATAAACTATATATGTTTTATATTTTCCTTCAGACTCATGATGGACTAGAAAGACAGGGATCGCTGAAGTACCTCAGAGATATACTTTCACTACCCCATTCTAAGGGCCTTTCTTACGCAGTCTGACATAGACTAATTTGTTCTGACATTCCCCTTTTACCCTTCATGCTCTGTGAATAACTTCCCGAGCACTTTGTCTCTTCTTTCAGCAGGTACTTTGATGCTTTCCCTCCATCTACTGTTTAAGTTTGAAAACCTTTTTGCAATCCCTTTCCCTCACAACATCTAATACTTCTTAATATTGAACTCCTCCCACTCTATTCAGAAGGAAAGGGGATAAACAAGAAAGGAAGCACAGAAACCCAAACAGTTTATTCAGGGAATGGGTCTTTAAACTGGCAATATGGCAAACAAATGCTAACTAAGGCTGCTTTGGTATTTTCTCTCCCCTTCTGCTACCGACTCATTGTCACCGTACCATAGCACGGTCAACTCAGAGCGCATAAATTGGAATTAGACTGCTATTTTTTTACACAATATTTTGTACCTTAATGATTCTTCCTCTTCCTCAGACATAATGAAAAAATAATTGAGATTGCATTTTAGAAGTCCTATTTTCACTTCCTGACCTACTCTGGATCCAATCTAATGTTGTTTGCGTTGAAATTAATAAAAAATTTTACCCCTGGATCAATCAGATCGGTTTCAGGAGACTCATTTTGGTCAAAAAAGCCTCTTATTAAGAGTATCTCCCTAGGCCTAAATAAGCATGGGACGAACTAACAACATTGTTTTATACTCTATGTTGCAGCATTTAACAGAAGTATAATACTAATATTTATCTGTTGATAGGTATAACTAAGGTATTTTTGAACTCCACTGAAAACAAAAGGAAAACATTTCCTGAACAAGGCTTTTTTTCCACTTGAAAACAAAATATGTTTAATGAAAGTTTGTTCTTCAGTAAAAGCAACACACAGAGATTTTTTTAAAAACCTCTCTCTCCAACACATAACATCGTTCTTTCCTCACATCAGATTTTAATATACTGAATGATACGCATAGCCACATAAATATTTTTGTTTCTCTTTCATAAATTTCTTTTCAAATAAAACTTCCATGAAACAGGCCCTACATACACAACTTTAAATTTAACTTTTTAAATGGTGGATTCCACATCTGCAAAACAGATTTTGTAAAGTTCTTGTATTTGCCAAAAGCAATTCAAAGTAACTTAGAAAAGGATGGGAATGTTCTTTTGGAAAGGTAACATGGATATTTTCCTGACCACTGAGAAGTTAAATGACCCATAATAAACAACTAATTTAATTACTGGGATTTGCATTTGGTTTTGTGGTTTGTTTTTTTTCCCCCTCCCACAAAGGGTTATTCTCTTTTTTTCCCCTTTTTTCTAATGTTCTTACGATGTTACTACCAGGTCAAAATTTCTGATAAAATTAATTATTGACAATGCTGTCAAAATTAATGCTGTCAAAATTGATGCTGACAAATCATTAAAGGTATTTATGTAGCTGCATTTCCCAGCTGGCAAGCATGGAAAAATTCCCTAAGTTCTGATTCAACAAGCCACTGCCCATTCTAATACTATTCTAATACGATCTGCTGAAATTCAAAAAGTGAACCAATTCAAACACTAAAAGCCTGACCTGTCAAATTCCACTAAGCTTCTTTGCCTGTCCCGTCTCCTCCGGAGACTCACACTTCTCTACTGGACCGTAAAACTCTCTTGCGCAATACTGAATGTTTTCACATTTAATGAAAGTCTTGTATTAAGCCTACTCTTAATATATTATTAAGTCTATGTTTATCACACTTAAAATAGAAAAAAAAGCAACAGAATACATTATTGCTAAAAGTACAGATCGGGCTTAATGTTGCATATCTAGTAACTATATTATAATGCTTATCTTTGTAATATATTATAATGTCTACCTTTGTAGGCAATATAAGGTTGCCCAAAAGGGCTACCTTGGAAAGCTATAACATATTTTAAAATCATCACACAAATTCTGCTGCAACGGAATTTATCAGCAGAGGACAGATTCCAGGTCACTTTATCAGTGACAGAAAACACATTTTCAAAAGTGTTAAACTAAATAATTTTATAAAAAAAGTA